AGGACTTTCAATCAGGAGACTGAGGTTTGAGTTATGTGTGGAAGAAGGTTGAAGTTGAAATGTTTTAAGTCAAATAACTAACATAGTAAGGCCTGGTATGCATGCAGATGGACTGGTACTTTGAATGGTTTTGGAAAACAGTCTTACAGTATGTCGTTTTGTTGGGGCAACTGACAATCAACCTATTTTGTCATTTTGGTATGAGGATGTGTTGGTAATATCAGCGCCTACATACTCACCAGAAAAGGTTCTGATGTGGTTGGAATTAGGAAAATTTTTATTTCTCCCCATGTCAGTGAATTTGTGAAGCTGCTTTTGCTTTGACAGACATAGACTATTTTTGAGACAAAGACAACATTTCTCAGAGATATATTTCTGTTTTGTGGTAGAGTGACCCAGATAAATTACCTAACTATATTTGCAGACCACTAGACCAAAGAAGTGCAGTGTTGTGGAGGAGTTGTGGGTCCTCGCTGCCATTCGCTTGGTTCCACATAGGTGCTCTCCCAAAATAAATACAACACAGCATCAGATCACAGCACATGTAACAGATGCAGAAGCACCTGTGAATACAACGTGTTAAAGAAATTACCACAACAAAAATATTACGACCTACATTGTGCACAATAGCAGAGAACACTAGTTAAACAATGCAAATCATGATCAGTAATATTTGTTGAATTATGTGCAGCAGTCACAGTGGCAGACACACAGTAGTAGTAATCCTCTATAATCCTTTGCTGGCTATGTCTACAGATGAGAGTAATGTTATTAAAGCCTCTTATGGCCCCACCCAAGACCACCCACTGTTCCATGTCACTTGCTCATAATCAAATAAAACTGTTCATGTTGTTACGCTGACAGATCTGTATCTCTTAACAATTAAATAATACAATTGTTCACATTTGCATAACAACAGTGAAATCGAACAGTTTCAGCACAGTGACAGGTTTGGTTCTGCATATTGAAAATAATTAATCATGTAATGTGAAAGTGTGTGGCTTGTAGGAGATAACCCACAGAGAATTATGACTGACTCTGCAGCTCCCCTCAGCTCTACAGAGCTTTATTATCATCTTTCAGCTCTTTGTTTTGGTTTTATGACGTTAACTGTTTCCGTCTCATCGCTCCCATCAGCGTTGTTTTCAGCAGCAGCTGGGTTTCACAGCAGCTTTATTATAATGTGTCATTGTTGAAAATTCATTATTTTGCTTAAAGCCACTGCAAACTTGGTTTCAGTTCCAGCTTATTTCTGTCTTAAGAGTTTGTTTAAAGCTGAATGTGAGTTATAATGGCACCACTTTATAATTAGACTCCTTTATATAGAGGGCTATCATATCATATTATTCTATTATGGTTTATAAATGATTAATTAATGTGTATCGGGTATAATGAGCCCTTAAACAAGAAGAACTTTTTGGTTGCCTGATTGTGACAAGTCCCTTTGTCTACAGTCAAGCATGGCATACAATAGGGCAACCCAAACGTTGTTCTTACTGAAGACTTATAACTGATCTATAAACAATTAATATACAATTTATAATTTAATTATGAAGCCATAACTTAGAACTTATAAATCCTTTATAATCTGTGACTTATAAGAAAGTGGTACCAAATAAATAGAGTACTAACAGTGTCATTCTGACTCTTAACCGTCAATTCATGTGTAGGTATTGTTTCAGGTGATCCAGGTGGTGCTAAAGATTTTCACACTGAAGTTTATATTTTAATGCATCATATGAGCTTATCCCGTGTTTTGATTGAGAAATCTTAGCATAAAGTCAAAATGCTCAAATAATGTACCGCTCAATTAAAATTGTGCAGCTCTTGTACAGCTTGGAGAATGAGCAGTACAGTATATATAAGACAGAGTATATATTTATGACAGCTGCTTTGTAAGCATACAGATGCTCAAGCTGAGCCGTTTTTTCTCTTCAGGCTGAAAACAGATGAAAGTGAGTGTGTCTGCTGTCTGTGATGCAACATGTCCTTGCCCTCTCCTTTAACCTCAGAGGGATTGTTTCTCCCTCTCCCATGCAACTCCACTGATGATATTAAGCTGCAATGAGACTGTTTCATTTGTCAGCATTTCCACTGTTTGCCTGTGGGCCTCAGATATGGCCTTTAAAGCTTTGGAGCTGATAAGACACGACAGGATGAGGTTAATCTACCTCAGTGGTTAATGGGTTGGCTCAACAAGACTTTACAGTAGCCTGTTTTCCTGCTAAACCTTAGTTTACATTCATCCTATGCTGATGTTTTACATGCAGTGCAATCATTTTTTTAATTGTGGCTATCTACGTTATTTCAACACGTCACGGTGTTGTCGCGGTATAAGGCTCGCTACGTCTGCATTGCCCCTGGACGTTGTAATTGGACGTAAATTGTGAGGTGTGATTATTCTTATTGAATGATGAAGCAATTAAAGGATTAATCAATTAGAAGATCCTCAGATAATTAATCATCAAAAATGCTGAAATGTGAAGAGTTGATGCTTTTATGCATTTAATTGACTGTAAATATAATATTTTTGGGGTTTTGGACTGTTTATGGAATAAATTGAGCTTTTTGATAAAGTTAGTTTGTATTATATGAGAAATTTTGATGGTAATTTTTCATCATTTTCTGACATTTTGTAGACTAAACAATTGGTTAATTGAAAAATCTGTAGATTAATCAACAATGAAAATAGGCTAATTGTTAGTTGCAGCCCAGTCCTTACTAAAAAGCATAATTTTACTGTCAAAATGAAAAGAAAAACGCTTTTTTCAAACATCTAAAGGGACCTAATCTTCCTCTTGGGTCTACCTGTTCTGTGCTGTAGTGCCATTTCTTTCTCTCTGCATGCTTCATTTGCATCTGAGCATCTGTGTCTGTGCAGAAGAGTTTCAGGATCAAGGTGGGTTAGGAGTTGGCGTCTGGTCCCCTACCAGGCAGTCCCGTTTTAACATCCCAGCAGGTCCCGATCTGCACCAGCGTGGGTTTGATTATTCTCCGTCAGCCCTGCTGACGTGGGTGGCAGCAAATCTCTTGAACCGGGAAAGACGCACTCTGGCTCCGGCTGAAACATTATCACTCTATCAAATCAAACCTCGACAGGCAGCGGTGGAGGGAGTATTCTGATCCTTTACTTAAGAATAAGTGCTAATACCTCACTATAAAAGCAAGTAAAAGTCCTGCGTTCAAAATGTTATGTAAGTAAAAGTCAGGAAAATCAGGAAAATGTTCCCTGTGACTATTATGTAGGCCTATGCTGTCATTAGAAGCTGGATTTTACTGGTGTAGTATTTTGTAAGCTCTTCATATGTTTTGTATGTAAAAATTAACTGAAGCTGTCAGATAAATGTAGTGAAGCACAATAATTCCCCCTGAGATGTGGCGGAGTTAAAGTATAAAGTATTGTAAAGCATAAAGTAGTACTTAAGTCTGGTACTTGAGTAAATGTACTCAGTTACATTTCACCACTGTCAACAGTTCACACAGAGTTAGAGTTAATCACAGTAAACTGATACTAAGCTGCCTAACAGATTACACTGGCATCGTCTCTGTGTTACATTGTGTGTTTTGATATTGTGAGATTCATGTGGTGTCTGTTGCATAATGTCCTGAGGCTGTCAAAGTATTGCATGTTTCAGACCCTGACCACAGCCAGACCCTGACCTGAGTCTGTGACTGCACAGCGTAGGGGTTGGGGTGGTGGGGTAACAGGGAGTCTTTTAACGTTTAATACCCCTCTGTACCATCCACCACATCACGTACAGTATGTGAACAGAAGTGAAAGGCAGCTTAGCTAAAAAAAAAAAAAACCCACACACACACGCACACAACATCTGTCTCCATGCGTTCACACACACACACACACACGTACACACACACGCTGTCTACTAAAGTGCTACAACATCTGTTTGTGCTTTCAGGCTCGATGACAGTTTGAAAAACAAACATCAACATCTTCTGAAGCATATCACCAATTTACAAGAATAGAAACTTCTGCTTTTGTGCACCTTTCAGTGTGTGTGTGTGTGTGTGTGTGTGTGTGTGTGTGTGAGGGGGGGGGGGGCCTTAACCCCTAGAGGCGTGCAACCTCTGACATACATAGCAGCACTATTAGCTGACACTTGTAAAAGTTTAGGCAAATAGTGGTCGAGTGTCCCCAAAAGTGATGGAAACACAACTGTGTGTGTGCAAAGAGGGTCAAAAACAAGCTCAATGTCTATTAGCTAACACAAAATAATATTTTATAGTTTTTCTTTTTGTATCTTGGAGATGACCTGCTTAACATAATATAAAGTTAAATAAATACCAGACAAATTAATTTGAATTTAATCAAATGTAAGTTTTAGTAGAAAGGCATTTTTCCCAGCTACTGGGGTAAGACCTCCATTTGTTTGACACATTAAAGAACTTTTTATTGATTTTTTTTGTATCTTTAAGAAGGCTATGCTAAAGCAAAATAAACAGCTATAGTTGACTAATTAATTTGTATTTAATGAAATGTATGTTTTAGGGAAAAGGCATTTTCCACATGGGGTAAGATCCCCCCGTGAAATCACTTTCATAGGTGCAAATTACAGATAAAATAAACTACAACTAGGTGGTTCCTAAAATTTATTTCTCAAACTTTTATATAGTGAGTTTGCTGGAACTTCATTAGCAGAAGGTCTGAGGTAAAATAGGTGATTCCCTGCTAGCTAGCTGCAAATGTGAGCATATGTGAGCTTATAACCTCAGAATTTTACCTCTGACTTTCTGATAGTCAGTGTCTAAATAACATCTAACTTACAAACGATCAACCGGAAAAAATTTGATCAGTCAGAATTGCTTTGATCTCAAAACGTACAAAATTGTGATGAAACAGAGGGGAAGCCACGCTGTCCTTTAAATATTCCGATTTACTGCATCACCTGTCCGGCTGTGATACCACCGTTAAACCTTTGGCCCCCTTCACGCGCTCCTGTGCACCTGCACCCCGTGGGCGTGTCTCTGCTCGTGCGCTCCTGCGAGGCGCAGCGGGCCGGGCAGCCAGCAGCGCGCGGCGGGCTGCAGCGACATGTCTCTTTAAGTTGGTGTCAAAGCCGATTACCGCTGATCTCCGCCGTGTTTCTGTTTTCACCGTCTGTTCCCTGTTTCTATTTTTGTTTCGCGCTGCTGAAGATACGATCAGCGGTCTCGTTTTGAAACGTTTTATACCGGCCGGGTGGAAAAAAAACGCTCGTCTCCTCGCGTTAACTCCTCGTCAAAGTTTGGAGCATGGAAACGTCGTGAAGCGTTGTTGTTGTTTTCTGCAGCTCTGCTTTGTAGGAAAGCCCACGTTAAAGCCCCAGACTGGCGAGCTGGTGAGTGAGATGTGCGCTGCGCCGGGGACTCTCCAACTTTTTGTACCATAGTAAGCCTGGATTACCTCTCCCTGCACACGGAGACATTAACCGCTTTCTCTCTGGCGTCCTCCTGCTAAAATAACGGCAGTGATGTGATGTGATGCCTCGGGTTACTGTTTGAAGTTGGCACCAAAATAAAAAAAGCAAAATCCGAGTGAACATAAAATGCAGAAGGGTGTGCGGTACAATGAGGGCCACGCTCTGTATCTGTCGCTGGTTGCGCGTAAAGAGGGCACCAAGCGCGGCTTCCTGAGCAAGAAGACCACCGAGAACAGCCGCTGGACCGAAAAGTACTTCGCCCTCTACCAGAACGTGCTCTTCTACTTCGAGAACGACCAGAGCACCAGGCCCTCCGGGATGTACCTGCTGGAGGGATGCACGTGCGAGCGGGCACCTGCGCCCAAGGTCTCCGCCATCAGCAAGGAGCCCACAGAGAAACAGCAGGTGAGTCTTCACAGCTCCACTGGACCGTGAGAGGCAGGGAGGGAGAGCCAGGTTAGCTAAAAGTTTAAGAATGGAGGGGTTAGCTGTTTCATTAGGGAAATATGCTTCTACCCTTTTCATTCATTTAAACCCTCGGGAGTTCATGTTGGTAATTTTCTTTACCGACTTTCTATGGATGCATTTTTGTCTTTGTTCCACCTTTTACTCCTCATGCATGGTAGCCTATTGTGTTCAGCACGCACTCTGCTGTAAGTCGGACATCTCATTTTGTGAAGTTAACAAAATATCAAGCTGCAAGGAACCCAAAATACAAGAAAAATGTCACAGGTGCTAATCAAAATAGCGAGAATCCCTAAAAAATATTAACAGTTCAAGGTTGTAAAAGTTTCACTATTTATATGCACAAATAAAGCAATATTACATTCTGCCTACATGTTAAATGATTTTATCTTAACTTATTCATTAAAAGTCTACAGTATGCCACCAACAATCTCTGAGGAAATAAGAGTTAGGAGTATCCAACCAGCTATTTATCAGAAGTAGCTGAGTTTACCGACTAGTCATTTCAGAACTGAAGAAGTCTCTTGGATGAGGGAGGAAACGTCTTCTAGTATCTTCAACCAAAGTTGACCTGGATGACTGAGAACCTTCAAAGTAAAGAGTAAGATGAGGGGAAGGTTTTTTTATAGTCTACAGACATGATTGAGATGCTGACAGCTTGTCTGTACATGATATCTGAAGTTATGTTACTATAAATAAAACATGCTCACTGTAAACATAGGTGAATAGAGGAACTCCAGACTAGCTAATAATATTCAAACTAGAGCTGAAATGATGACTGACAGAAAAGTAACCAACGTTTTAGTCATTTTTCAAGCAGAAATACCAAAAACTCCCTGTTCCAGCTTCTCAAATGTGAGGATTTGCTGCTTTTCTCTGTTTTATGTCATTAAAAAGTGAATATCTTTGAGCTTTGGGACTGTTGGTCGAACAAAAGAATGTGTATGGTGTGGTGTCGGCTATGTTAACTGCTTAATGAATACTTTATGTACTGGTTTTGATAGTGGGTTGTTATTGTTGCATATGTAAATAGGTAAAAGTATAAATGTTATTGATTGTTTTGTGTCGTTTTATGTTTGTACTGTCGGACTTGCTGTTCTGCTCCCTTTCTTGGCCAAGCCGCCCTTGTAAAAATGATTTTATCTCAAAAAAACAAAGGTTAAATAAAAAGAAATACCTTACAATAATTACTAGATACTTTTAGTCTGGCCTTGATCGAGACATGAAACATTAGACAGCCTCCTGTTCATTAGTCTGATCAGAGACAACTTGCTAATAAAAATGCACTCTTGCAGAAAATACAACACAATTTAATCTCTTTTTTTTGACAAAACACGTATAAACACAACCTCCACTGAACATTCTTAGCCTTGGGATGAGTGTGTGTGTCAGTCAATCCGAACCAAAGTACGGCTGCAACTAATGATTATTTCTAGTGTTAGTCAGCAGAGTATTTTTATTGATTAATCATTTGGTCTGTAAATAGTGAAAAGGGCCCAGCAGAGCCCAGTGTGACGTCTTCAGATGTCTTGCTTTGCCTGACCAACAGCCTAAAGCCCCAAAATATTAAGTTTACTATCATGGAAAAGAAAAGAAGATATTATTCACGTTTGAGAAGCTGGAAACAGTGAACGTTTGCCTTTTTTTCCTCCCTTAAAAATAATTTAAAGGGTGATCGAAATAGTCCCATGTTTTAATTTTCTGTTCCAAATTCGAGCATCTCACCGTCTTCGTCATTCATCCTCCTTACCGGACGCCTCTGCCTGCAAGGCCTTCTCTGTTTTAGAGAGAAACCCTGTGTGATGAGGAAGACACAAAGCGCCTGGTTATATTATTGAGAATTCATTGTTAACAGAATTAGCCTTTATGAAATACTTGTTCTGTGGAGGCTAATGCTAATTTTTAAATGACCCATATTCCTGTTTTTGCTGCTGCAGGGTATGAAGATGTGTTTTCATCCCATGAGCTGCTGGCATAACGTGGAGTGGTGGTTATTTAATAATAAACGGTGTGCTCTGAGAAACAAGCTGCACGTTCGACCCACAGATCCTGTTTGGCAACGGGTCATTTCAGTTTTTATACAAACTGGATTATATATCAGTGAAGTCTAATCTTCTTATCGATACGCAGGTCATCTGTCACGCCTCGATAGGCATTAATCACATGCTGCCTGTGACAGCCTGACTCAGTCGTGACTTCACATGCTCCGTTTATGGAGGAAGCAGATGTGCTGCAGTGTTTTTACAGCTTTAGTGTGCTAACAATTATTCCGCTCACGAAGCCCCAGTAGGGTGAGAATCCGCTGAATTACTCTGATCTGTAAATGAGATTCTGAACATTAATATAGCAGCAGACAACTATTTGCTAGGCAAAGATTTAGTGGAGTAACGGCAGAGAATGACAAAACACTTCGTTTTGAGGAGAGTGATGCAACGTCTGTTTCTTTGCACATCCGACGCGGTGAATTAATGGTGTACTCTGACCAAACCAGAGCTGGTGATTGTAGTGAAGTGGTGAAAAGACTTACAAAAAGAGTTTTGTTGAGTTTTTTTTGTTTCTGATCAGTTTGAGTGAAGTGTGTATTATGATGATCTGTGAGGTAAATTGCTGTTTTTCTCAATGCGATCTGCTGATTTGTTTCCGTCTGCGATGCTGGTGCTCTAGTGGGACATGCGGTGGCCGTGAATGTCACTTGCAGCTCTTCTGAACACGCCACATGTTTAAGGTGCACTTAAATCTCTCTCTCTTGTTTTTTGCATTTCTATTGCAAAATACAGGACTGTATAAAAATGCTTACGCTGTCTGAAAAATTGAGAGGTTCTGTTCTTTTTTTTTTCTTACCCCATTTATATTTAATTTCAGCCCTTTCTTGTGAGAGATGTTATATAAAGAGATTACATAGTTTTTGTTGGGCACTGTGGTTCATAAATGTGCATTTGTTTTCAGACACTATGCAGAGGACAACCATCCCTCTGGAGACACTAAACGTGTCATACAATTTCCCAGCACTTGGATACAGACTTTGTATAATATGTAAAATTGGGGAGATCCCCTTTAAACAGCTTCTAGCATGGTTGTAGAATCTTAGTCTTGTTTAGCAAAAGGAAGCGTTCAAAGAAAATACAAATAATCCTGGGGAGGGCCTTGCATCTGTAGAAAGTAAACAAGGTTAAGCCCCACTCCCCACCCTAATATTTTATTTCTAAAAGACTGTCAGTGCCTCATAAGATGAGGGAAACTTTGGGCTATCTTAAATAGATTAAAGGTTCAAGGTACATGTATACATTTATAACACAAGGCAGCACAAAGAAGTTGTAGCACCCTTCACACCACGCACACAGGACATATATACAAATATTTAAAATTAGAATAGAATAATAATAAAACAATATGTACAATCACTTGATTACATTCTGTATTTCACACCAAGATGGTAGATAGATCAGTTCTATGTCATTTATTCATGGTGGAGTGCAGACGATGAGTTGAGGAGTCTCACAGCCTGAGGGAAGAAGCTTCTCTGCAGTCTGGTGGAGCGACAGCAGATACGTCTGCATCTCTGAACAGGCTGTGGCTGGGTATTTTAGGCTGCGTTCACACTGCAGGTCTTAATGCTCCGCTCAGATCCATTCCTCGGGTCTGAATTTTGTGATTGGTCAACTGTATTTTTTTTTAGATGTGTCTCATATCAGACTAGAAGTGGGAACAGGCCAGTGGCCTGAAAGTGACTCGCATGCGTAACAGTATCCGTCTGGTGCAGCATGCTGTCGTAGAGAAGTAAACATGGAGGCCACAGACAGTACAGTTTTATTGTTAAGTTGATCATTGGGCTCCCGCAAGCACAGAATTGTGACGACAGTCGTTCTAGAGTTACGTCAGAGTCGCATGAATTCTGATCTGACTCCAGACAGAGGTAACATTTCAAAAAATCTGACCTCAATCTGATTTTGCATATGAAAGTGGCCCAAATCCGAACTGGTAAAGATCAGATTCCATGTGACTTGTTCACACTGTTATAAAACAATCTGAATGCAGCCTTAATATCCTTTGGGGCGCTGCAGGCACCTCGTCTCAGCGATATCACTGATGCTCAGTAGATGAGTTCTAATGATCTTCAGAGCGGTTTTAATCACCCGCTGCAGAGCCATCCAGTCCTGGACCATGCACCACATCTCACCAGTTTGTGATATTTCCAGTCAGGATTCTTTCTATTGCTCCTCTGTAAAAGTTAACAAGAACTCAGCAGAGGAATTTTGCCTTCTTAAATTTCCTTAAGACAAACAGCCGTTTGATGTTGTTTGAAATGATTCTTCTGTCCTGTTATTTTTAACGTCAACATCTTATTAGAAATTCAGGCTGGATGAATTTCCTTCTCTCTGCTGAACATCTGTGCATCTCTCAGTATTATCAACAAAGTCAGTATTTGTCCATTGGTTTTGCACCTGGGCCCTCTGTGTGCAGATAATAGAATTTTCACTTATTTTGCCTGCATGAGGAAAGTGCCTGGAGGGCGGCCTTTAAGTACTAAATATTTGTATTTGTACAATAATGTTATTGCTAAGCAGCAACTTGCCTTTCAGGTTTTCCGGCCTTTAAAGTACACTTTAACCAAGGATCTAAACTCCACAAAAGGCGCCAGCACCTCCAACCAGAGGCCCCACGATCTGGCATTTGAAATAAAAAGCAACGCTGCATGGTAGGCAGACTCTAGTTTTCTTAGCAGTGATGATGAAGCATGCATGTACGACAGATCACCGATACTCAAGCGGGAATTAAATTGTAAAAGCTTATTTTCTTAGAAAATCTGCATGTGTAGTAAAATATATGAAATTGCTCCATAATTTAGTAGAAGTGAGAGTCTGTATCCTGAAACAAAAAATGAATAAGGCAGCACTAGAGCTGAACTATTTTTCTGATTAATTCTCACACCTAAGACAGGA